TTTTTTGGGGATGTATGTGTGGGTGCTATGAGGGTGTCGTGGGTTTCCTTGGATGTATGTGTACATGTGGGTGCTATGAGGGTGGCGTGGGTTTCCTTGGATGTGTGTGTACATGTGGGTGCTATGAGGGTGTCGTGGGTTTCCTTGGATGTATGTGTACGTGTGGGCGCTATGAGGGTGTCGTGGGTTTCCTTGGATGTATGTGTACGTGTGGGCGCTATGAGGGTGCCGTGGGTTTCCTTGGATGTATGTGTACATGTGGGTGCTATGAGGGTGTCGTGGGTTTCCTTGGATGTATGTGTGGGCGCTATGAGGGTGTCGTGGGTTTCCTTGGATGTATGTGTACATGTGGGTGCTATGAGGGTGTTGTGGGTTTCCTTGGATGTATGTTTACATGTGGGTGCTATGAGGGTGGCGTGGGTTTCCTTGAATGTGTGTGTACATGTGGGTGCTATGACGGTGGCGTGGGTTTCCGTGGGTTGATAAATGTATGTGGAGAGTATGGAATGAATATGTAAATTTGATGAGATACTGTGTATGGGAATGTTATGTGTCGATATGTAGAGATTATTGGACAAGGTGGCAGTGCAATGAAGTTATTATATATGTAAGTAGATATTGTCGATGAACGTTGGAATATGGCGGGTTGGTAATTGTATGTGGCTATTGAGGGAATTATTGACATGTAGCGGGTTGATATAGAAATGATGACAACAAGAGTTGTTCAGACCTTTCGTACTACTATATGTAGACCATGACATGCATATGTTCCTTTGCTGCAAATAAAATCATTGTATATAAAAAAAAACATTCTCGGTTTTTACAAAAGGCGACAGCTGTAACATGGGTACCAATGCATGGACCTTGAGTGGAAGTGACTCCACTGTCCACTGCTGTGTTGCCGAGATGTATCCTAAAGATAAAGTTCCTCCACTGATGACTGGTTACAATATGTCTGATATCACTGTTTCATATTTTTTTAAATATATGTTTTATATAAAAAAATATTGTTCCATAGATAGTCTTTCCCCCAGTTGTACTTTTTCGTCATTGTTCCGACTATGTCGTTTCTGTAGGCACTTGTCCAGGAGTGTGGAAATCCACGGGTGGATCTGTCGTTGATTGGCTGGAAGTCTGGGCACCGTTTTCAGAGTAGTAAATAGTCTGTGACGGCGGAGGGATACTGACAGTTGTAAAATGTCCGTATCTATTTTGGACGGCAACAAGAGCTTCCTCAGTTGGCGGTTCGAACTGCATAGCTTCGTTATAAGAAGGAGGAGGACTGCCTGGACGCAATGACGGCGGAGGCGATCCAGGCGGTGGAGGTGGCGAGGCCATGGGCGGATAAGGATAAACGGTGGCAGGATGTGGACGGACGTTATTTCTTCTAGATCGACTAGCTCCATATTCATCTTTTTCGTCATCATCAACTATAAATAATTACATGCATATTATATTAGATCAACCTGACTCAATTCTACACTTTCTATTCAACACATGTAAGATATGGGACTTTTTCTGATTGAGGTTTCAAAATATGTATAAACTATTCGCTAGTAGATTTGGAGAAAATGATATGTAATAATGTAAAGAAAACATGTGGAAC